AGAAGTAGAAGGGGAAAGACAGCCCGATCTCATCTCTAATCTTTTTTATGTCTGCCACATTCTGTAACCCCTTAGCACTTAGGAGCACAAAGGCCAACTGGAATCCATTATCAGGGTGAAAACTCAATGACAGGAGACCAAACTAGGTACTTCTAAAGAAGTCTAGAAATACAGTTAAGGATATCTAGTTTCCTCCCTTTTTACTGGCTCCCTCTCCCAAATCTCGACATCTATCAAAGTGGGCACCTGAAAACCTAACGCTCACTCTACTGCATATTCAAACAACTACAGTAACGAAGGAAGAGGAGACCTAACTTCTCCTCCCTCTTCCCTTCCCATTAGGAGACTCTGAACAACCAGAGGATTAATGTATCAACATCCCACTTCCTTGTTGTCCAGCTGGTTTGTTTGACAGTCGTGTAGACCGATGGTTCCTTTTGTCTCTAATTCCTCTACTTTAGCATATGTTCCTTTAAATCCCTGTTTTGATCAAACCACTTCCTCCCCATGCTCCCAACACAGGAGGGCCTCGACTCTCCAGGATCTAAAAGATCCTGATGACCATTCACCATACATCTTTTTGTGTTTGTGGTGAAGGAGAATTCCTTCTTGTGGAGAGGAGTGGGGAGGTGATCCAATTAGGATATGCGAACCAAATAAAGGGAGTGAATGAAAGGTATCAGGAGAATTTTCAGCCACTTTTCCTAGATGTCTTCAGAACATGCCTATCACCAGATCAGCACTTCCCACAAAGCTTAACGGCTCAACTGCAGCCAGGTTAGACAAGATTCTACAGTGATTTAATTAAACTAGAGTCAAACTCAGTAGAGTAAAAACTCACCTTCTCCAAAGCAGACCTCAAAAGATACAGAAATGGGGACTTCCCTGGTGGCACAGTGGTTAAGACTCCGTGCTCCCAATGCAGGGGACCCGGGTTCGATCGCTGGTCTGGGAACTAGATCCCACATGTATGCCACAACTAAGAGTTCACAGGCCACAACTAAGGAGCCCACCTGCTGCAACTAAGGAGCCCACATGCTGCAACTAAGGAGCCTGTGAGCCACAACTAGACCTGATGCAACCAAATATATATATATATGTATATGTATATATATAAAGATATAGAAATGTAATATGGAGAATCTAGAGCCATTTACTTAAGCCTTGGCTTAGGGATCAGAAATGGAAGGAAGAAAAATTAGGTACAGTCATCAAATTCTGATCTTTGCCTCAAATATCTGATGTTACTACAGCTAACAGCTCCTAACCCCATTCACTGACTTTGTGAACTCTGAAGCTCATGGAGGGGGAACAAGTATTTTCTGGACACTTACAAGGACTGGTTAAGTGACACAACTATTGCAACTGCTCCTGTGAAGAAGTGTGATTAAAGAAGCTTTCTGCCTGTACTGATAAGATTGCTGTTGCCATAGTATAGCTCGTACGCTATCTTAGTTTCTCCTCTCTGAAGACCTACTCCTTACTTTTCCCAGGGTTTAAAAATCATGTTAACAATAAGCAAATACAGCATGGCCAGATGCCTTTCATGGTCAGATGGTTCATTGTTTAAAAGGCTTCAGTTTAAAATCCAAAAGATTGTTAACAGATGCAGTTTCTGGCTGAAGACTGGGAAAAACCTCACTTAAACAAAAGAGCATGTTGTGATTGGAACTAAAAAGGGAATTACCTTTAAAGATAAGAACCACAAACATTTCCTATTTGAAAATACCCCCAGCCCCACCAACAGAACCTTTTTTTGGACCTTTCGTAAAAGTTGAAAAAACTGACAGTGGATGGCGGCGTAGGACGAACCACGGCTGACCAACCGGCTCAGTCATTTTTACAGATTTGTTTGGACTTTCAAGGCTGCGACATCCATCTCCTGCTCTCCCCCGGATTACTCAATTAGGCAAAATTCCAATTAATTTCTTTCCAATTCTTTTAGCCCCAGAAATACTTTTGCAGTTTTCATTTTGGCTCTGGAAATGGGTTTTCAACCAGAGGACTCAGATAGAGCCGTTTGAGAAATGAACACAGAGCTTGATAAGCAGATAGCCACTGCTGGGACTCAAGTCTCTACTGGATGGAAAAGAGCCACTTGGCCAAGGAAGGCCTGGCCCCATCTTCAGTTCCCAGCCCCGTTTGTCTCCACAACTGCTGTGCACTTTTATACAGAAAGCCTGCTTTTCACCAACTCTGTTTCTGTTGGCGTTCGTGGGCCCTTACTCTATGGCTTCACTATGTGTGAGAACATCTCCGATGCCTTGGGTTCTAATCTTGAAAGATGGAAAGTCTGAAGGAGCCATAGGGGTGTAGCTTTCCCTCGCCTCGGCCTGAGAAATAGATGTGGTCAGGCTTGCTGGTGACATGTCTGATTTGAAAAGGTTACTCAAGAGATGGTCCAAGGAAAACAAACTGTTCTCGGCGTTAAGGACGGCCACCACGGGTTTCCTTCGGAGAATGGGCAACCTGTCCTGAAGGGGATCACCTTCTCGGAAGAGAGGCAAACATCGTGCCCTTTTCGTGCTGAGGGTTGTGTGTTCTCTTATTCATTGTGCCGTTTCCCGATTTATTACGGGGCCCCAAAAGGTCAGTTTCAGACCAAAGGCACAGCATAGTTTTAACAGTCTGAGAAGCTCTCATCAAGAAAATCCTTAGTCAAGCCATTTTAATGTGAGGCAGATCTATAAACCCATGGGATTCACCAAAGAGTTAAGATGGCTTTCCCACTCAGCCACACCACTGCTAAGTCATAAAAGGAATCCAAGCTGCTGGAATGAAGCTAGCAGGAGAACTGCATTTCCAAAGATCTGTGCAATCCGGCCAGGTACTCGCAGGAAGAGCCCATCCATCAGGAAATGGGAATTTGAGGCCAGTGGCCACAACCATATCCATGCTCCTACAAAAAGCCAACCCGCCACGCACACAGGAGACAAGGTTTGCAAGGGGATTTGATAGGCCTGGAAATTGAAAAATGAGCAGCAGCTGTGAGCCCGAGGTCATTACTATCCTCCAGGGTTTGCCTTTTCTAATCTAAGGAGCAGTAGTTTCCATGATTAACTTTCAATTGCCGTCAAGGGTGTAATAAAATCTGGGAAAGAAGAAAACTTTCCCTTCAGTAAGCTGCTCCCATTTTCCTGCCCTTTCCTTTCCTCTAGTGCATATTCTCAATCCCCGCTTCATGTTGTTTCCTAATTTTGAGAAAAAAATCTGCGCTCGGATGAGCCAAAATAGACAATGTCCTGTGTGTACTCGGGCACGTAAGGGCTTTTCTTTCTCAGTTCTAGGGGCCAGGTCTTGAAGACAGCTGCAGGAGAAGTTCTCTTGTTTTCAAGACCATACACTACCATCACTTTCAGAACAGGACATGACACATTTTTATTTTCATTTTAAAATTCTTTCATTTTAAAATCTGTTTCCTGAGCCACTGACCATCAGTTCCACAGAAGAGAGGTTTTCTAGGTGGTAAGACGTGCACAGAGAGAAAGAGGACAAGAGGGTATACTCATTCACAAACACATCTTACTGGTTACCACGGGGTTAGGAACCCTTAATGCTCCAACTGATCTGATCTGATAATGGCTCAGAAATCATCTTGAAAGGCTACAGCTGGACACGTCTCTCAGCAAAGGCCCAGGGAACCAAACCCCACACATGGTTTTATCAATTACAATGGCTCAGGTGGAAAATTAAATGTGCTTTAGATTGTTTGAGAGTCCAGTATAACACTCATGACAATTCAGTGGTTCATTCATCCTACCTTTGCTTCCAAGTATCAGATGCTGGCGTTACAAAGGTTATAAAGCCTGGCGAGAAAGGGGCACACACAGGCTTACTGCTGGAGAGATGCTCCCGGGCGGGGGGCATGCCAATTACACAAGGCGGCAAAGGGTGGGGGGCAGCCATGGGGGTAAATGGAGGTCCCCAAATGCATCCTAGTCCCCTAAGAAAAGGTTTCCCTGGCTGACACCGTGTTTTGACAAGATACTGGATTGTTATATTTTGTTCCTGTTTCCCTGCTTCCAGAGGTTAGTAATTGAGTGCCCACTCCTGTCGGAGAGGTAACATTTTTCTTAGGTGCTAGCCCTGCCTTTCCCACTTCCCCGTCTTGATTTAAGTCTCTCCTAGAACAGAAGGAAAAGTGGCAAAAGGTGGCCATGAACAGCACTGGTTCCAAAAATGGGTGAGAGAACAGTCTAAGAATTTGCCACAGGGGTTTAAAAGATGGCAGAGTGAGCTTTACTGAAGGAGATACAGTCCATAGGGTGATGCCTAGTGCTAGGCTAGGGAATAGTTCGTTTTTTTTGCTGCCCCCGATACCCTTTCTCTCCTCCTCCAAAGGTACTAGAATCCCCTGCTTTTATGTGTGGATGACTGCCCAGAATAAGACTGCATTCCTGGCAAGGGAGTGTGGCCATGTAGCTAACAGTGCGATGTGAGGGGAATTCAGGTCTGTAACTCCCGGATGTGGCCCTAAGAGTGGGGGCGTGGGGAGCCTGTGCCTCCCCCTTTCCTCCACCCCTAGTCTGGAATGTGAAATGGCTGGAGAGCCCACAGCACGAGGACAGGCCACACCTTAGAGATGGCGAAATGGAAAGTTGTTAGAAGGGAGTCACAGAGGGCTGTGAAAACCACAATTGTGAAACCACAATTGTGAAACCACAGTGTTAGTTCTCACCTACCTACACACAAACTTTCATGTAAAGGACAAGGGAAAAACACTTCAGTCTTCTGTAAGCTGATGTTATTTTGGGTCTCATTTACACAGCATTATGAATAATGGTGTGAGGTGCGGGGTGCAATGAAGTGTTGATAAAAACAACATCCAAGGAGCTGGCCCTTTACTGCATGTAGCACCGAGGCCACAACAGGACACATTCAATCTGGTTTTTACCTTATAAAGAGCTGCCTGAATTCTGGTGATGAAATGGGAGAGCAAAGGGCATCTAAAATGATCATTTTCCAGTTAACCATAATCATAATCATAATGAATAGCTTACCTTTTTCTTGCTACAGTATATTTGCCATTTTTTCTCTGCTGGAAGTGCAAACATGGCTTCCCTGTGTTTGTCTGTGAGGTCAAGTTCATCCTGAGAAGAAAAATAATAATAATTATTTCACAGATTAAACGTTATTCCTATAAGGGAAGTTATCAGCATTATCAGGGTGAGAAAACAACACCAACACATATTTAAATGAACTTGGGAAAAACCAAGAAGCTAAGTATAGGTGTATGTTACCAGCACTAAGAAAGCAGGTCCTTGGCCTGGGGCTAGGCACCAAGCACAGTAAGAGGGACAGGCACAGCCCTACATTTACTGAAGGGTAGGAAAAGGCGGCTGAACATGGGCAGAATGTTCTGGGCCACCTTGTACTGCAGCAGAGGGTCCATCGAGCATTAAAGGCCTTTAAAGCTCCAGAGCTTGGAAGGATTTAATCGTATTGCAGACGAGGGTTTGGTAAGGATGGCTCCACAAACAGTGACTAGCGGGATGGGCCCTGAGGGACATGATGAGAGGGGTGGAGGAACAGAACCAAAGGCTGGGATGTGGTAATGGATTGGAGTGTTTGCGGGGGACACTGATCAGCTTAGCTGAAGCACTGGGTTTATGCAAAGAATCATCAGGTGAAAGGTTTGAGAGGTAAGGAGTGACTTGTTGGTGGAAAATCTTAAATGCCAGATTAAGGAGCTTATTTTCTTGACCAAGAAGAGCCACTGAAGGTTCTGAGCAAGGGAGTGACAGCTGCATCCCCATAAGCATCACCAAAAGCATCATCAATATTTATTAAGTACTTTAAGTGTCAAGCCTTGTGCAGGCATTTTCTCATTTAAGCTCTCACAACAACCCTAAGAATTCCACTCATGATTACATCCTCGTTGTAGTAATAATACCTGTTGTAATACAGCTGGGGGAAATTACGGCAGAAGGTTGGGTAAGTAAACTCCTCAAAGACCACACACCTGGTAAATGATGGGGCTGAGGTTTCGGCCTGGAGCCACCTGACTCCAGAGCCCAGACTCAGCCTCTCAGATCAGGGTCTGGAACATTAATATTATAGTGGTGTGCAGCTTAGATTGGACACTAACAGAAAGCAATTTATGAGCATCCATAACTAATGAACAACAATGGGATAATGACTGTAAAGTGCATAGAGAATAGTTCTTGGCATTTGATAACTCAGTCCATGGTCAACATTATTATTGGTATTGAGCGTCTGGTACATTTTTATCCCTATAGGGAAAGTTAAATCTAGTTAAGGGCAGCAGATTGATGGGTGTGAGACATATTTTAAATTGCTATAAATTAAGGCACAATAATAAGGTTCAAATATCTGAGGCGTATAATGCCTTTGGGGTGTATCTGCAGCTCTGCCGCTCGTGAACAACGGCCTCCCATCTTATACCCCTACCTTCACTGGGTCATCAAGTCCTATCATTTCTTCCTTGAAAAATCTCACAGTTTTTCCCTTTGTTTTGTTTCCGATGAAACTACCCAAACTTATGTCCTAATCACCTCTCCTTTGGCTCTGGCACCAGCCTTCCCACTGTTCCTCCTTGCCCTTTCCATCCTTCCCACAGCATGGCCACAGATACATTACAGCAGCGGTTCTCAGACTTGAGTGAGCAACAGAATCACCTGGAAGGCTCCTTACATCACTGATCGCCTAGCGTTGAGGACTGAGCAGGTGGGAGCAAGTGCAAAATGTCATTAGTTCCACACTGCCTGCAAAATTAATTATATATCCCTCAGCCTGTCTTTTGAGGTCTTCTATTTATAACCCCAACTTAATTTACCAGGCTTGCTTCTGGTTATCCCTTATGCCCTATCCTGTTAACACCTGTACCTCCAGAGCCTAGCCACGCAAGGTCTGACACATGCTGGCTGCCAGGGGAAATTCTTCGTCTCATTAAGCCTCTGCTTCCTCAACTCCAGGATGGGCGTGTCATTTCTCTGGCAGGGCTGGATGAAGATTTGCAACATCAACTCAGCAGGCAGCAATGCCTGGCACAGGCAGGGGCAACCTTACTGCAGTTAGTTCTCTCATCATTTAAATACAAATCAGGGGCTATTTTCTTTTAAGAGCAAGGTAAACAGTTAAGTCATTAAAACACACACCCACACACTATTACACCCTAACCACAAGAAATTAGTTAAGAATTTCAACAATGGAAAACCAGGGAAGGAATGAAAAATATTTACAGAAAATTGCATTATAAGGGAACATGTTAAAAATGTTAAAATTTTGGTGTGCAACCATTATATATGTGAACTAATTATTTTTCTTCCTTTCTTCCTTTTTTAATTTCCTGTAAGTTACACCAGCTCTCACATATTAATGAATGGGGGGGAAATGGTGACATAAATCACTTCCCAACAATTAGGGTTTTCTGGGAGTGGGGGTCAGGTCAGTTATTCAAAGAGCTTGATGATACGGTGCTTAATCTGGGGGAAAGGATTGTGATTTGTGAGAGAGAACAGTGCTATTAATACTGCTTCCTCTACTACACTTCAGCACTGTGTTTTTCCTCACTGAACAGAGGTGTGAAGAAATGTGTAAATCCTAAAAACCTAGAAATTCACAGCAAAGTGGATTAATATTACCATATTTTGCTGTTAGAAACCTGCTTCTGCTGAGACACAGAAATGACCAAGTTTGAGTTGAGAGGACTCAGCTGAACTAGGACTTAGGGCAGATGGCTCCATGCAAGGAGAGAATGTCCATAAAATAAAAAAATTAAAAACTGCTATAGGTCCTCTGGATATAATTTGGGATTATAGTAAGAAAATGGGAAGGAATACATGGGTCGTGATAATAGTAATAGCTAACAATTATTGAGCACTTTCTGTGTGCTTAATAGTAGCGTTTTATATGGATTAATCTAGTTTATCCTCACAATAATCCTATAAAGTGGGTAATATTACCCCACTTTCCAGGAAGCTGAATCAGAGAGATTAAATAGCCTGCTCAAGGTAACAAAGCTAGTAAATGGTGGAGGAGGAACTTGAGGCTAGACTCTCTGGGTCCAGAGCCATGTTCTTAACCACTAGCCTATTATTCTATTGATCATTCAACAGGTGGGTAGAGCCATGGCACTGATGCTAATAGGCAAATGCATCCATGAGCTGCACTCGCGGCCTGCTGGGCCTGCTGACTGACTGTTCGCACGAAGAGGAGGATTTTGTTGTCAGACATCCCTGAGTTCCAGGTCTGGCTCTTATGGATTATGTAAACTTTAACAGGTGACTTAACCTCTGAACTTCAATTTCTTCACCTCAAACATGAGAATAATATATATCTGATAGCCTTCACTCAAGCAACCAAATTCATGCAACCAAAACATTTTTTGAGTGTCTACTAAATGTTAGGCATTGTAGATGCAGGGGGTAGAAAGGTATCACAGAGCTCATGTGCTCGAGGTGGCAGAAGGGAAATCAAATAATCACACAGTCCGAGGGATGGTCACACAGAGCTGAGCTGTGAGAACCCACTTACTGTGGGGAGAGGTGGGGCGGTGAAGGCTGTGAGTGAACTGAAGGGAGACCTGAGAAATGAATAGGAATTAAATAGGTAAAAAGCACTGCAGACAGTGAGTGAACAGCAACCTTGCAGGCCACTGTGAGCTTTGGTCTTTATCTTGAGAGCAATCAGAGGTCACTGGTAGATCTGAGCAAGGAGAGTGACACAGATTAAATAATAATTGGGAGTGCCTAGGCACAATGCCCAGAGTGTAATGAGACCCCCATCTCTCCATTCCAAAAGTGTCTCTGCTCTGACTCATTCCGTTTTAATAATATGGCTGAAACAAGCATGCAAGATTCTAAGAGACTATCACACAGCCTTAGAGATCAATCAACACCTACTCGATGTCCTACCCATTCCAGGACCGTGTCCAGACATTACAAAGGATGCAAAGATGAATAACAGACCTGGATCTCATGGAATTCAGATTCTAGTTAGGAAGACAAGAGGACAGAAGGCTTCGACAGCTCCTCTCCTTAGGATAAAGTCCAAATTCCTTAGCTGGTAGGTAGGGCCCTTCGTGGTATGGCCTTTGCTGACTTGCCCCACCTTGCTGCCCCGGCTGTCACCTCCCCCTCCCCTCCCCTCCCCCCTCCACCACCAGCAGCCACCTTTCAGCACGTGGGATCACAAGTTGCCCATTTTTGAATCTTTTGCACATGCTGTTCCCTTTTCCCAGAGAGCCCTTCCCACCATGTCTAAGAATCAATCCTGTTTATCTAAGCTTTTTCAAGGGATCTGCTATTCCCCCCAGGCAGTCTACCCTGACTTTCCTGGGGTGGGCAGCCCCTCTCTGTTCTCCTAACCTTACGGCATTTATCACATTGCTGCAGTTATGTGATCAGCATGTATGACTCCCTTTCTAGACTCATCCCCAGGGGGCAGGAATGAAATTTGTTCTGTTCATTTTCGCATTAATTGCCAGTCCCCAAAACAATATCTGACGTAGCTGGATTGCAAAGAAAAAAGTAAGGTGAGGGAAGCTGGGGCAGCTGGGAAGGAGGGAGAGGGGATTACTGTGGGACATAGCGAAGATCAATGAGTTTCGAAGATTAAAACCCATTCTTTTCTCTTTTTTGCAGGAAGATGTACATACAGTAAATGTACACTCCTAAGTATACAGTTTTCAAGTTCGGCAAAGGTATACACTGAAGTGGTCTTTGCACTTTATGCGTCTGAAACTGCTTGTACCATTGTACTTTCCCACCAGCAATATATGGCAGTTCCAGTTACTCCACATTCGCAAACATTTGGTGCTGCATCTTTCTAACTTTAGCCATCCTAGTTTATGTGAAGTGGTATCTCAATGCAGTTTTAATGTGCATTTTCCTGATGACAACTGATGCTGAATATACCTTTTCACAAGTTCACGTGCCATTCATACGCATTCTTTTATGAGGTATCTACTCAAATCTTTTGCCCATTTCTGAGTTGTCTGTCTTATTGTTGCAAAACATGTCCTTTGTCAGAGGTATGTACTGAGAGTATTTTGCCTCACCTGTGTCTTTTCATTTTGTTAACAGTCTATTTTGAGCACTAAGTGTTTTTTTTTATAAAATATAACTTA